AATCTGTTGGGAGTCACATGTCTTTTAGGAGATTTCGAGGATGCCGATGTCGAAATTTATTGCGGAAGATTTTGCTGAGAACATCACCGTCTTCATTAATATGCTTTTGGAAGGTTGAGTGCAGGTCCGAGATTTCTGGTCAAAATTAAGTTTTTTTTTAGTGAAGAGTACATTGGTGCGCAAGCGAAAAGCAGGTACACAACTTTCGGGCTGATTCGAGAATACCGGATCACTAAGCAGGGTAAGCCGCCCGTTGGCAAAGAACGCGAGGGAGTCGCTTTTGGCTAATGAAAGTATTGGGGGCCGTTACCCAAAGTATCATCGCAAAATTTGAAGGTGCCTAGGCATGGCCAAGGGCAGGATTTCGACCTCCACTGTGACGATTGAATGGCGCATCTCAGAGTGGGGTTTCTTACTAAAATACGTCATGTCCCTGTGAGCAGGAGCGAAAAGCTCTTGCAGAGAATCTCTCGTGTTCGGCTGATTGACCTCTGGAATACTAATAGAAACCTATGGCACGAGAAAGGTTCCTTTTCAAGATAATCTAGCGTATGCTATATAGTACTGATCTTTGCTGATTTCAGTGGTCTTTACCGCTTCTCAATGTACCGACTTGAAGAAACTTATGGCTATTTGAAGGTTGGGAACTCGCGTTTTGAGAAAAAGGCCAAACAGAGCTATTGAGGGGAGAGGGGAGCAACGGTACGACTTTCCGAAGGAGTGCTCATTGAGAAACGTCTCGATTTTTTGAAGGCGTCAATCTTCTAGTTTCTAATTAGCTTGAAAATCTGCAAAAAGTTAATAATGAAGAAAGTTATGAACGTTTGAATGTCGAAAACTCGCGCCTTCTCAAAAATCGGACCACAAACCCCCAAAAACGGAACAACGGGACTATTTTTGAAAAAATGATCGCTGGAAAATTTTCAGGTGCTTTTTCGAAAGCGCTAATCTTCTAGTTTCTAATTAGCCTTAGAAATTTGCAAAAAGTTGATTAATGAAGGAAGTTAATGAGACGATTTTTTGAAGAACTGAACATGTGCGAAAATTTAAAAAATTTTAAGAAAGGAGAAAATTTGAAATTTTCATATACTTGTGTTCCATTCATGAGACCGCTTTTGAAGTGTATCGTAGTGACCCTGCAAGGTTCAGTTATTCGGTTCATAAAAAGGAGATTTGCGAGTTTGAAGAAACTCGGTTCGTTTCTGAGAGTTGAAGTCTCTGCAATTATTACTACCATGCCTAGACTAACACGAAAGTTCGGAGATTACTTCTAGCTAATGTGTAAAAATGCAATCGTGCCTCGATCCCTCTCCTCTGAGCTATACAAAGCGCGTGGACTTGCCACTGTCCTAAACCTCTCCATGTCGATGACGGCCCACACACCGGTGATGGGTCTAAAATATGAAAAAGGCACAACGGTTAATACAGAGGATCATACAGATAC